ATTTCCTTGAACTATATGATTTTGTAACCTATAAGAGTGCTGTATTTGGCTGGTAAATGAGGCACCGAAAACGAGCTTGTTTGCCAAATTGAGTTCTCCAAATTATACCAAATAGATTCATTATCTTTGAGAGGCTTTCGCCAAAATGAATCCATTAAGAATCTTGGGGTTGTGTTGCGAAGTGACATTTCCTACACCATTCAAACCCGGGTTCTCCAGCGTACGTTCTCGCTGTGCGTAAATTTCAGATGATCTAACACCTCCCTCCAGTTGAGTGGTATTTTAGTCAACCACATACATTTCAATGCTTGATAAATATGATACGGCAATCCCTAATTGTTAAAACGATCATGAGAATTCATATCTCGTCATAACCATGCTGAACATAAAGTTACACACGTGCAGCAGGTTTCGCAATGAGTTAAACATGTAGCGCGCATCTTTCGCGCACCACTTGTCCGTCGTGGACCTTATATCAGTAATTTCTTACTGTTTTTGAGAGCAAAATTTACCTGAGTTTACTCCTAACTCCCCAAAATTAGCTCCTGGTGGTGCGCGACACGTGTACTTTAGTCACTCAGTAAACTGCTTTCTCAACTGATCACGATTGGCTGTTCAATTTCTGACCTTATTTAAATTGTTTTCATGACAAGAAGAGTGCGAAGTTCACACGAAATTCCGTTATACTATCTAGAGACTTTGTGCGATTAGAAATTAGATGTATTTGTACTAATACTGCTTTTCGTCAAAATAGACGATCTTGTTGTTCTTGAGGTAAACAATGAGCTTGTAAAGAAAGACTGAGGACCGTTTAGCTCGTATTCTTGTCAGTTTGCGTGCGTAGATCCGATAATTGCTTTCTTTTGTTGAGCGGTTCATAATCATCACCGACATCCGTCAAATTGTAAAGTCAAAATCAAAATATTTAAATGTTACTCGAAATCTCCGGGAGGCTGTAAGGTTATGATGAATGGTGTCAAATGACATAACAATTGAGCGTGCTGTATCAACATGAGGTTGATTTTTCTTTTGGTATCAATAGCTGATTTGCTTTGATTCAAATTTACCTCGGCAGCTTAGATCAATAGCACAACTTAGGCCACTCTCCCGTTTAGTATCAGGAAAGTGCGTTTACAAATTTCGCCTGATAATGAGTTGGGTTATCTATGAAGAACCACTTTCATGCAGGAAGAAAGTAAGCATGCTAACTCGATCATATGTGTTACCTCTTCGATCTTAACGATTAGCCCGATAAGACGACAACCTAGCCTAACATTCAGCGGTTGAGTGAGGCATATATCATGCTCCAAGGTCGAGACGCGGTGTGTAAATGGCACGCGACAAACAGCATACTCAACTCTGACTATGAAACTACCTGCAGTGAATGCAAACCACATGAAAGATCCACACCTCATAACGGACCAATAAGAACAACTCAAAAAGTGGCTCTCAGACAAAAACCACCTCCATATAAGCTGGGTTCCCACAAACTTCATGTTCCTTCCCGCAACTGGTAGCCTAGACCCAGAAAACTCTTCTCCCAAAAGACCTCTCCTTGCCGACCACTATACGGTTGGCTCAACTGACCCTTTGCACCCCGATGAGTTTCTACTCCGCGATCAACAGCATTATGTCCACAATGATTCTTAAGGTTTACTCGGCAAATTTTCAGAGATGGACTGCGTTTCCAAACTGGTCAATCGGACACTAGTGCATATAGTAAAACATTGCTGAAAACCGACATTCCGGACACAACATTACGCTTACCCAGCATGACTCTGCTCAGACGCGATCGTCCTACGAGGGGTGGTGGTCTGTTACTCTACTTTAGCAGCAAACTACAATATGATGTAATTGAGTATCCTGCTGTGGCTTCCAACTCACCGTGGTGCAAAGTGCGACTGTCGCAACGCGATATCCGTCATCTACAGACACAACCAATAAGACACTATTACAAACCATGTATAACTGAAGTTCACACATGTCCCCATTATGGGTGACTTCAATTACCCAAACCTAGCTGTATCAGTGACCTCTCTACAACCGTTTCAGGGGAACTTGCTCAGTTTATCGAATCCTATCCACTTCACAATTTTGTGAGGGAGCCAACGAGGTTTGGAGCCACCCAGTCATCGTCGGTTTGAACTTGCTGTTAGCTAACGAGGAAGCCCTATTCATTGCCTTCTAGTGACGCAAGTGTTTCCCCACCAAAGTGAGAGGACGAAAAGTCGATATCCCGGGCTATAATCAGGTAGGTGGACCACTCGTAGTTCAACTAGGGAAGATGGTTAAAAACCTTGATTCCAAACCAACCAAAAGGAGGCGTACGAACCGCACCCACACCTTTTCGGTTGTGGCAGTGGTCACCGGCTTGATTGGGAATTGAGGTGTATTGGGCACCTTGGACGTCTGACCCCGTCCGAAGGGCGTATGATCCGATGAACTGGACACCGGCTCCCAATGGACTGCGGTTTTCGCACACCGCCCCGTTGCCTTGCGGGTCAGGCTTTGGCTAGCCGGAGGCTCCGGTTGTGAATTCCTCAAGAAAATTCATCTGCCTTGGCCTGGGCAACCTGGCAGTATTCAGCCCACAAACCAATCATGGAACATTTTCTTTTTCATAAAGATTATCGTACCATGACTTTCTTAGCACAGTCTGTCCTCAGAAAAGTGTGAAATACATAATATATAATAGCTAACGAGGAACTGATGATGGAAATGATTTCTACTTCAACCCAATTAGTGCGTATTGATCATGCTGTATTGATGTTCGACTACAGTTGTTACGCATGCTTACCGTAAGTTTCTGCGGTTAACTCCTGTATGTTTGTTGACTACACCAAACTCACGATTTTCCCGAGAGACATACAATGGAAATTCCCCAACGAACAGTAACCTGGCAAGAATTTGCGTATCAACTCACGGAAATAGTGAAGGGTGTGACAAATACCAAACACATTACCTACTCAACTGGTCAAAAATCTGTGATTCAAAGTTGAAAAAAGAAGTGGATTTTGGAGAGGAATATCGCACGGTGAGCTGATAAACGATTTCCATGTAATAACACATGGTATATCTACTGTCTACTTTGAAACCACTGCACCAAGTTGGCGCGAGAAGACCACAAAATGGTGGTGCGCAAGTTTATATCCAATCTCAAGCTGATGTAAAAACATTGGTCGGCAGAAAATTCAAGTCTGGTGTTCCAGCGGTAAGATAGGCACAAGGTGTTTCAGTCACAACAAAGGAGGCAGCTGAAATGTGAAAAAGTCAGACCGCTCAATTGTTCACCGCACCTGCGAACAACGGTCTACGATTGCCTCTACTGCTTGAGAGAATACCATACCCGACGCTCACCACAATCGAGTTTTCCCCAGAAATCTTAGAATGGAAACTGCAGTGTTTGAAAAGTAATTTATCTCCGGGGATAGATAACATCAACCCTTAAACCCTTATCAACCTGGCAAGTAACCAAGTTCAACCATCAAACGAACTATTGCAACAAATGTTTGACGGAACTGTGCTCCTACAAACATGGAAGCAAGGAATAACTTCCCCAATATACGAGGGTGGCTGTCGTAGTGAACCAGCTAACAACCGCTCCGTTACTCTCCTCGTCGTATTATCCAAATTCATGGAATCCATTGTTGCAGACAATGTGATAAGTCACTTGGAAAAAAATGTATTATCCCGTGCTCAACATGGGTTTCGTCGCAGGCGATCGTGTACCACGAAACTGATTCTGATTCGAGAAAAGTGGGCAAAACAGCTGATCACGGTGATGCAGTGGACGAAGTGTACCTCGACTTCTCGGGGTATTTTGATCCTATCAGTGTAGCACCTTCGAGTTCCAGAGGAATTCGTGCTTAACCCTAAAATTTTCTGGTTATCCAAGGCGATCTAACGAGTATTCTGGGGAAACAAACGGTTTGCTTGCAGACGATGCAAAAATATCGAAAACAGTGACACACACCGAAGACTCTCTGGCACTTCAGAGAACACTTAATGCTGCTTATCAATGGTCGATTTGAAACGCCATATATTCAATGCATCAAAATGTACGGTCGTATCCCTTCGCCACAAAACTCGGTTTCCGTACTTTTCAGGATATTAACAACTTTCGTATGTCTCGAATGAAAAGGATCTCGGGGTCATTGCTCAAGACGACCTAAGTTGTGTTTTAAACTGCTCCAGGGTGTCGTCCACCACTGTAAGACATGTTGGTTTGCTAAAGCGAGTATCTGACAAATTTGAACCTATGCTGTCCCCAAGGTTATCAGCCTACATTTGACCCCACAAGTATGCGATTCAGGCGTGGAATCTGTGGCTGCAATGCGATTGTAAGATTCTGGAACGTCCACAAAGAATGACCGCCGAAATGTTCAAGTGACTGCATTTCAAAATTTTGCCGAAGGACTGGAATCATTTAGACTGCACTTCACACAGTACCGCCGCATTCGCGGGGACTTGAATTTGGTGTTTCAAATAATGCAGAACCCTGATCACTCATCTCGTTCACTGTTCGCCTTGTCGCCCGACACACCTCAGGGGCAACCATTCGAATTAGTGCTCCGAAAATGTCGACTAGAATGCCGGTGTCACTCACTGCCTTCAGAAGAAGCAGGATTTGGAATTCTCTACCACCCTGCAATGTTTCTGCACCCACAATAGATTCTTTCAAGTACAAACTAGATTAAGCTTTGACAAGTCTTAAACTCGACATCCGTAGCGGTGCACTAAACAAGGATAATTTCTTATGAACCGTAAATCGATCCATTTGTGTTAAAGCCTTTGGGACAAGAAAGGCAACCACTTGTAAGTATTTCCCATAATAAAACTTTGACTTTAGAACTAAGGTAAAAAAATTGTCCATTGCTTCGTAGGTTTCCGCTTCCTTTGCACTGCTTACGATAAAATTCATGACGAAATCAGCTGAGATTCTCTCTCTTTACTGCAAATCAGTATACTTCGTTAATGATGAGGAATATATCTCTATGATCGAGAACCGCATATAATAAGGGTAATCCTACCTGATTGATTTGTGCATCGTTCAGTGACAAACAAGAGTCAAATAAAGCCGGGGCTTCTTTACTCGAAAGCAAATCTGGAGATGGCAAAGGATTCTGATCGGGGATTGTTCCTGTGTGATGACTGAACTGGCCGGTAGACGATGCGTCGCTACGAATCGACTGTGTACGTGTGCGCTCTGAGTGGACGCCAGATGAACGACGACTCGATAAAGCTGCAGGAATGAAAGGCGAATCAAGTAGAATGATATTCGATACATTGTATCACAATCATATTCCTAGACGAGATAAAATTAATGAACAACCAAACTGTTGAATATGCAAGTGTTCGACTGAAACAAAGAAAAACGATCTAGTCAGCGATTTCTTCATTAGATGAGTGATTATGTAGAAGCTGTATATTCATCCCCAAGGGGATGAATTAAAGTGGTTTATTAACCTGACTCGAGTGGTCAGAAATTGTAGACAACAAAATAATAGTGTGCCGATTGTGTTCAAATGTTTATGGAACATTTGACTTTTGCTCCGAGAAATCAGCTAGGGTTAACAACTAATCGCA